TCAAGGATCCCCTCTCTGAGGTCTTGTTCCTTTTTCTTAAATAAAGACGACCTGCCAGGTCCCAAAAGAGTATGTTCCTTTTTTTTTTTTTATTGGTCCAATAAAAAGCATTACATTTGAAGTGTTAAAAAAAAAATATGTATCTGAGGAAAAAAAGAAGTTCCTTGTACAGACGGCCAAAGAGCCCCAGGATTTCATTGAAGAAGGCCACCCAGCCTGCGCTCCCCTGGCCACAGCTGGATTTTTCGAGTCAAACTACAGGTGAGAAACCATTCCTTTGACCCATGGGATTCACGGTTGTAATAAATACTTAGCAGTATTTGTCAGCAGGATTATTTCAGAATAAGAATGCGAATAATTCTAAACATCACTGAAGCGTGGAGCAAATACTCTAATAGGGGGCTAAAGGTCCTTGGTAAGAAGGGCACTAATCCCCGCTCAGCAAAGGTCCTGAGATGGAGTGTCAGTCGTCGTTCTCAGCAGTTCTCCAGCCTGGTATCCATTTTGCTACCACCAGTTCTTCACACAATGTTATTTCAGGCGAGCAGACGGCTGGAAAATGGGGCTTACTTTTTATTTAGAGCATCACCTAAGGGCATGTATATGGACATCAGTGTGCACGAACCTTCCAGACACCTCAAATACCACAATATTTAAAAGGTAGTAGGTTTCTTTGGATAACTGTTTTGGTTTGGTTTTTTGTTTTTTTTTTTTTTTTTTCTTCCAGGAAAGGAAAGAGTACCATAATTAATATAAAATAGCACTTCTTAAATTCCAGCCTTAACAGCAGCCGCCCGTTTAACTCATCCAGGATATTTCCTCCCCAGACTGTATCTCTCAGGATAGTAACTTACAACAGAAAGGCTGACTCCAAGTGATACGGTAAGGAAAAAACAAGCTTTCCTTCAGCCTTCATCCATACAGAATAACCAGCAACAGATCACACTGGCCCTCGCTTGTCCTGCACAAAGACACATTCGACTTGTAGATCTGCTTCAAACCATACGTACACAAACTGTACGGGGATCCTGACTGGAGCTGTGTGTCACTGCTGAGCGAGTCTTGCCGCACAGGACCCCTGAGACTTCACCTCCCGGTACTGCTGTTCACTCCAAGCAACTGTAAGCAAAGAAGGTGACAGCTCCTGACAATGACTATAAAGAAATTCTCACTTGGACTTTTCCAAATAAACCTTCACGGGGCAGTGACCCAGTTTGGAGCAAGACATCGTCTACCAGAACAAAGCCACTTATTCTGAAATAAGCCTTCCTTTGGAGCTGGTTTTCATCAGTGAAGCTCTGCTAAAATGCGAGAGTCTCATTCTTGCTAATGCACACCAAGGATCTATGTTCTGAAATGACTCTTGTAGGCAAAGGAAGGAACCAGAGGAACAAAAGCTCTGGGAGCACTTCTGGAACAGAACAGACCTTGCTGCATCAACCCAACTGTAAGAATAATTTTTAGTAGATGCTGCAGTGTGATATATTTACCCCATTTACCAAGCAAGTAGGGGAGTTCAGTGTGGAGACGACTCAATGTGCCAAAAGGCTGTTTTCTCGGGCTTTTTTTGCTGAAAAGCCCCTCATGGAAGGAAAACGGAAACTCTTAATATCTGGTTACAACTGATGTACGCCTTCTCAAAAAATCCAACACACGTTTGGAAAAAGCCCTCTGATAATGCCCTTTTTTTTTTATAATGTACTTAAATTACACAAGTAGAAAAGTTATGCTTATTAATAGTTTAATGTATGAAGGAAACATCCAGATTTCTGAATATGAAGGTACATATCTCACATTAATTTAAGTCTACATAAAGTAGAGCCTCTATACTGACATATTGAAATTTACTTTCTGCTTAGCCATTTGTTATGTAAACAATTGTACATTTATTTGCCATTCTAAAACTTCAGGATCAAGTTTACATAATTTTGCTAAATTTCTGTGTTTGCTCAGAAGCAGTTTACAGTACTAAAACCAACCAGCCAAAGAACAGCTTCAACAGAAAGTTATGTCAAAAAAAAAAAAAAAGGAAAGGAAAGAATAAAGGCTAACTAAGTTGAAACGTATGATGGTGGGGAATGGGTGGTCACAATGGTCACAGAAAAAGGTCAGTTAGTAAGTTCTTCTGCAAAAAGCCTACACACTTCAGTCAAGCACATCAGTAGAATGATCTGGGAGCACATAAACTGTTTCTGCCATTTGTGTTTTCCTCTGCAAAAAAGGAATCTTGAGGCTAGCAAGTTGATCCCACTCAGCCAAGTTGGTTCATATGCACACTGTTCATGTGAGGTGTCCAAGTTCCAGTCCACACCTGAAAGAGAAACCTTCATTTAGCACCATGCTTCGGGGCTGCTCAAAACAGAAGTCAAAGTTACACTGCAGTGCTTATGGTTTTCACTGCGCCTAAGTAAAGCCCAACATCAGACAAGATGGCAATCAGTCATCAAACTACACTGAGTTCCTTTCAGCACTTGTTTTATTCTGCTCTAATTCAGGTGAGAAAAGAGGAAAATGAGGTTTTATTCCTTCTGCCTGTACTTTTTCACCTTGGCCAAAGGGTCCATCTTCCTCTTCCTTTCTACTTAGTGCAAAAAAATACTTTCACCCAGCCTGACTGCCTGCCTTCATAGCAAAATCGAAGAGAAAAATCAACACTACTTATGCCCACTAGCTCCTCCATCATAGCAACACTGATGTAATACATATGTTTTACTGTTCCATGGGAAAAACGTATCCCTTTAGACCCAGGGAAATAAGTACTCCCCCTAAATATGCCAGATCCGCTGTCAAGGAGAATTAACAGGACTCTATACACGTGCAAAATTATTTGCAAGGACAGCGCCAGAAGACCCCCAGAGTTCAGAGGAAGAGGCTACCTTTCTGCTTTACCTTAGGAGGCTCAGAAAAATCAAGAACTTGACTTCTGGCACCTTGAACTATTTCCCCCCAGTGCATACCAACACCCTCAGCTCTGGGGAAAGCCAAGTACAACAAAGTAAAGCCTTCTCCGAGGGACAAAGTTTCCTCACTAAACCAGAGGTTGCCTCAAAACGGTCATGAGCCACTTCAGAGCAATACACGAACCGTGGCCAAACAACAGACCGCCTCTTCTTCGGCACACCTATGGTCTGCCAGAGCTGGGAGCTGCTGTTCACAGCCTGGATGATTCCCAAGCAAATTAAGTCCAGAAATATCTTTATTTAATAACTGTCTAACAGCACTCACTGCATAATTAAAAATAAACACAGGATATAACATGACAAGAGCTACTGATGATCCATTATAATATTAGTTGCTGGCTGAGTACGAACAAGAGGTTTAGGGGAACATTATCCCTATACCTAAATTATATTTAGCGGACAAGCCTGTAACCCAGTCAAGATCAGAGCAGCAGACAGAAGAGCTACTTACTCCCTTCGTACATGAACTCCTAACACAGTGAAGACATCATACCTTTCAGAGCCCAGCACCAATCCTTTAGAACTAATCCCGTTTTCCCTTTTTGGGAAGGGAAAGCTTACGGAACAGCAAATAACTGGCTTTTCTCACAAAAGTAAATTGACTGTTTTCCCACACGCAGAACTGCACAGACAGAAATCATTATAATTTTGAGTAAAATATACAGTGTAAAACTATCTTTTCCATCCAGGCTTGCCATCATCAAAAAAAGCTGATCTGCAGTAATTAACCAGCTGTCTACTTTGATCAAATAGGCAGCTTCTCTTAAGCTCAGCTGGAAGCAAGCTTCCCAACTCTCAAGCACAAATATGTTCACAGAAGTAACGGCAGCACACTCCTTTGAACTGCATTAACTTAGCGATGCTGATTTTTTTCTCAGGACAACTTACACTTATTTTTGGAGAGATGACTAATGTTTAGAAGTTGTCAGTAAGCAGGTACAGCACTCAGTGCTGTAGTGAGTAGAGGAGGCTGTATCAGCTCCTTAGACACAAGCAAAAAGAAACACTACACTGTATTTTCATACTTTCTAACAGCTAGGATCCTATCTTCACCACACTGTTTAGGTTAAAACAGAATTATGAATATAAAAATTGAAAAATTACCGTCTGAGGCCCATTATTTTCTGTGGAATTTGAAACCATCTTTATCAGCGAGTTCCAAGATGGGTCAGCAGCATGAGGTCCATTAAATATAGGGCCTCCAGTACCATCTGTGATGGGGGCTACAGGAGGAATCATTGCATTCCCATACACAGAAAAAGGCATACCCTTAGAGGGAGGAAAAAGCAAGAATCAGTATGTATTCATAAACACTGCTACTATTACACGTACAGAATGACAAAACTGGCTTCGTGTTAAAGAAATTCTCATTCTTAAAGCAGTAACGAAACACCAGAATTTAAGAAAAACCTTTCTATGCATGTATTTATTACATCATAGACAAGTTATTTTACAATTAGATCTACGCTTCTGCAACACTGTGAGGGCTAGTCAGTGTTTTATCTTATGCATGCTCAACCACGCAGTGAATGATGCCTCGCTGTTGTTCATCTGCCTCACGCACTGACACAGAAATCGAGCGGTACCGCGCATGTCAAGTCCAAGAAGGTCATTACCCCAACTTTTGGGAAGTCCATGTATCCTGCGGGAACGGGCTGATGGAATGTACCGGAAGGCGTTACAATTCCCGTGCTGTCTCTCTCCATGGCTTGGTGCGAGAACACCCCTGGATCAGACATGGGCCTGTGGATCATGTGGCTCCCCATTCCGCTGTGACACCAGTCCACCTTATCTAACAACACAGAAGACAGAGCAACAGCATTATACATGACACCAGCTCAGCACCCATTTTCCAGCCTAAAGCTCTGCACACTGTACGCTTATAAAAGTGACATTTGCTCAGCCTCAGCTTGCAGTTCCTCTGCATCTACCTGCATTAAAACTTAGGTGCATGTAGGACGGAGAGCATCAGAAATGGTACCTGCACACCCCATGGCAGGAACCCTGAGCCAGTGCAAGGAGTTTGGAACAATTACATGCAACCCACGCGTCACCTCTGCAATTCTTCTTCATTTGAAAGGGAAAGCTAGCATTTGTGCTAACTCTTCCTCCTCCAAACGCCTAAATTCCTTGCATGTTCAGTGCTGTAAAGGAGGTATGTACGCTATGAAGACTATTTGCTCCACTTCTTTCATGAAATATTTAATGAACTAAGAGACAAAGAAGTAGTTTTACAAAGCAAAACCAGAAAACGACCAGCTGCAGATGTGTGCTCATGTTGTAATTACAGTAATTCATTAGAGGCAGGTCAGTATTGTTACTGCAGTTCAAGCCTCGGACATCCAGAAAGCCAAATTTTCAAAATAAAACATAAGGAAATGATATTTGGAGGGGCGGAGAGGGAATACAGAAATGTTTCTGAAGCCATCCTAATACTCAACAAGAGAAGAGCCAATCCCATTCCTAACTGAAAATGAAAATGTTAAGTAACTGAATGAAGTAGAAAGCAAGCAGCATTCCCAAGGCAAAAACAGACATAAAGGGCAACTTTCACACCTAGACAATGCAAATAAAAATACTCAATTTCTAAAGCCTTAATGATGAATAGCCCCTCACTACACAGATGGGGAAAAGACCACTAGTGAAGTAAAAAAAAGGTTTGGATACATCTTCTTTATTTTGTATTTGGAGAAAAAAAACCCAGGACAGTATACTCATCACATGCAAAGCATGTGCACAGTCAGTCTAGTAAAACCTGAAGCTGTTTGGACTCCTCAGTCAAGTAATAGAACAGGTTGCTCAGTTTCCATCCTTGGAGGTTTTCAAGCTCAGATTGGATAAAGCCCTGAGCAACCCGGTCCAACCTCACAGCAAATCCCATTTTGTGCAGGAGGCTGACATGACCTCCAGAGGTCCCATCCAACATGGTCTCATGATTCCCTCCCCCTCATCCCAAGCAAAAAAACCCCCGATGTTCCCCCCACACACACCTGAAAAAAAATTCTGCAGTTTCCTATTAATTGCATCCAAGACTCCTGAAGCATTTGCTGAGAAAAGCTGTCCCCATCACTAACCTAAGATTTTAATGAATTCTGAAATATTGAGTTCTGTGCGACTACAGGAGAGCCAAGAGCCTTGTGTTAGTAAAATGCCAATGGCATGACTGGAAAAAACAAAGAAAACTCAAATGTGGAATGCTACCAATTCATAAAAACAGAAATCACATGATCCTTAGCACAAAAAGCTCCATCTCGGCTACAAACTGAAGTTAAATATTAACTCCTATTGTACAAAATAGTGTTTATCAACAGAAAGAAAATATACAGTTATCTTGAGACATCTTCATTTCCCCTCTTCCTAAATCCAATGATCCTCACTCAGTTCATCCCTGTAAACCCTGTGGTTTTATTTTCACTGTTATTTCTTGCTTTGAGCAACACATCTTCACAGCCAGGGTGTTTCAAAACCCCTGAGGTTTTCTGAGACCTGCTTAAAACACCATTAAGTGGATAGGAAGGCAAACAGAAATCCCTGCTCCAACTCCTTTGCAATGAGCACACCTACATTTTCAGACTCACTTCTGCATTGTCCTTCAGCTCCAAAGGCAAGTTAGAAAAACACAATATTGTGGTCAACTGCAAGCGCAGGGACATCTATTCACACTACATACCTTGATTGCCACCTATACCTTCAAAGGACCAGATCCCACTATGTCCCACTGGAGCAGCTAAGTTGCTCCCGATAACAGAAGGAGTAGAAGTTCCAGTTTGTCTAATACGTGCAGACCGTTCAGTCCCAATCGGAACAGGAACTTTTCTGTCCTGAGAAACGTTACTGGGTTTTTCTGATCCCAAGGACACTGCTGAAGGGGTAGGAGATGGTGCTCTTACTCCAGAAGACACCGACTGAGCAGGAGATTCTGCAAAAAGAGCAACAAGAGCACTGAGTGACAGCAGCCAGATCCTCTGAAGTCACCACAAACCTATCCTTTAATGTCAAGCAAGTGAAAATGGGTAGTTTTTTGCCAGATTCATACAGCAAATACTTCAGGATAATTTTAACTGTTTTACTTTCAGATCAGAGACATTCACCACTGATTTAGTCTCTTAAATAAAACAATTATCATGCCGCGTCAGCTCAGCTACTGGACATACACCACAACCCATGACAACAGACAGTTCAAAATCTTAACTAAGCATTACTGTGTATCAGCCATAGAGGATTTGAGGATTACACCCAAAAGCATAGCTGAAATAAACCCATTTTGTTGTTGGGTTGGTTTGGGTTTGTTTCTTGTTACTGTGTTTATTTTGGTTTGTGGGTTTTTTTGTTGTTTTGTTTTTGGTTTAATCCTGATTTGTTCTCTGTGGGTTTTTTTGTGGGTTTTGTTTGTATTTTTTGCCATTAAAACAGACTAACTTGTTCCCTGAATAAGCCAGCACTCAACAGTTTATTTCTTTTCTGTCCAAAAAACTCTGCTGCATAGCCAAAACTGCAGGGGCCAAAGTGGAGGAAGGTACCAGAACTTGCCCTAAGTATTTCTCCTGGAATACATTACATAGTTCTGTTTTAGGAACATCAGACAAACTAAGCAATCACTACTGTCAACCTAGCTTTAGTAAAACATCGTTACAAGGTTTACACAACTCACACTTGGAATATTACCTTCACAAACCAAAAAACCAACCTTTTCTTTGCAAGGTGACTAAAAGAAGGTCATATACCTTAACAGGTCAAAGTTAACTGCACCAAGAATAAGGAACTCCACAATAGCATGACCTTAGCTGCTAAAAGAAACCACACTAGAGATCAGAACTTGCACAGGAAAAATTTATCTCAAAATCTGTGACTGCATAAAGGTTTAAACATATCTAAAAACCTGAAGTGAAAGATGAACAAAACTAGAAAAGTCTATCTAAAATAGGCAATGCGTGAAGCCACTTTTATTTGTACAATAGCTTCTCATGTAGTTTCCCGTTTACTAGAACTCACCATTTGATGCTGATGAACATGGAGGCAATAAACTAAGTGGGGAAAAATGCTGTCTGTTAAAATTAGCAGCTGCAGGTGCTCCGCCAAGAGGTGTCCCAGGCGCATATATTTGACCTCCCGAAAGGTTTGAGGCAAAATTACCCAGGTGTGTAGAAGAAGGTGTTACAGAAGCATAGGGTGAATCCATACTGACAATACCTATGAAAGAAATAGGCACAAGTGACTCCCAGTACTCCAAGATGTCCGTGAAGTGGTTGCCCGTATCATGGAAATAATAGAGAAGGAAGGAAAACTTTCATCCAATCAGTTGGGGGTGGGAAGGGTGTGTGCTTGTTACTCTTTTCCAAAGAGAACTGGGAGTCTTAAGCTTCACACTCTGCAAGTCTTGACAGTATGTGGCAGTTGTGCTGTATATATAAATCAGGAATGATTCTTAGGTTATTGTGCAGATACCTCAAATACAAATAAATTAAGGGAACAGAATACATTCCTGAGATTACTGGACATTGGAAAAGTAACTGAGTATTTCAATCACTCGTAATTTAGGTTTTGTAGGTTTAGAAAGCATGATTTTGTACCAAGAATGGTGGAAATAATACTAAAGATTTGAAAACGTTCTCCATTTATTTTTTGTCAGAATGACATCTGTATAAACCATGATCAACGCTGAAGTGTTTTCCCTCCCCGCCCTCCATCCAGGGATACATTTTAACTTGCTTAAGAAAATGCTATTTTATTAAGACCAAGTGGCACCAATTAGCCAAGGTATTCAAAATACAAGAATTACTACCTCCTTAATGTTCTCCTCAATGAAGAAAGGGAAAAAAATAACATCTTAGGATTTTAAGTTTCAAAAACTATTAAGGAAGCTTGTTATCGCCCAACTGCTGTGACCCTTGTATATTTATCCTGCTCATAAAGCATGTGACAAAAAAATATAAATTTATAGTTTTAGTTAAGGAAAAAAAAAAAATCCCTTCACCAGTCACAGGCAGAAGAATAAAGCAGCAGAGCACCTGCCTCTTCTGCATCATCCATTATCAAGATCCAACCTCTGGTTTTTGTCAAATTCTTCAGGCTCTCAGGGACTACTTCCCTATGAACTAACATAACGCTCCCTGACCACAGACACCTCCAAACTTCATCTGTTGTGCCTGCAGTCTTCCAAAAGAGAAAGTTGCTGCAGCAACAGTAGGACCACGGTGAGAGCACTGCTTTTACCCAGGAACTGACAGGCATACTTAAATGATGTGCAGTGTACAAGCGTGTCCAAGTCAAAATACTAAGAAATACATTAAGTCTACAAAATTAACAGAGAGTGCCTCAAAAACTACTCAACACCATGATATTCACAAAATATGAAAAAAAAACTAGCTCAACTCGTAAACAAAGCTACATAAACAACTCACAGGTCCTACTAAAACAGGCACAGATGGCACGAACTGTGTGTGTACTTTCTGGAAGCTACAGAACAAGTTCTGTGACAACCCCTTGGCCTCTGTTTGTGCAGAAGGTTGAACACTTTGCTACAAAATTCAGGAAGTCAATTAAATTTTGTCATCAAATTTAGTAGTTAACAGAACACACCTCTCATTACAAGTTCACATCAAAACACAATTTTTTTATCATCCTAACACTTTGAAGACGCTGAATATTTTTCTGCAGCGTCAGGAGAAGCAGCACATTATCACAAACTAGAATAGTGGTGGTAGGGAAA